GGCCCGGCCTTGGGAGCCCGGAGACCCTCCGTGCGGCGAGCGCCGGGGGCGGGGAAGGAATCGCCGCCCGTTGCCGGAGGGCGCGGGGGAGCGTCCCGGGCGCAACTGCGCGCGAAGTAACTCGAGCTCGAAATCCAAATTCTGAGCAGCAAGGTGAAGCTGCCCAAGTTTCCAGCAGCCTCCGGATGGGTTCCAGCTTTTCACGCCACGGAGGTTGTTTTTGATTCTGCTTTTTGGCGAGTTCTCGACGAGGCGCGCGCTGTGTAGGCCAGGTGATCGGATTTACCCCTCTGGACCGAGACTGGATTACAGAAGACTTCTGGGGAAACGTGAAATAAAAGGCAGGGAAAGAATAAAGTATAAAGACGAGGAAACTAAGCACGCCCCCGCAAAATTCTATTCTAGTTTTTTGGGTTTTCCATTTTTGACAGAGGCGGTTTACTTCAAACCGCTGCTTGCCTATTTCATTGTGATAGACGCCTGATAAATTGCAAAAGAAAAAAATCTTGTCCATTCAGGGTTTTTTTGGATGCAATAGCTGCAGTATGAAGCTCATATTGCTTTCCTGTCTGAGTGGAACCCGAGGTCCTCTGAGAAAATTGCCTTTTATGTTGAGAATCGTTTGTTCACGTTGTATGTTTTCTCTGAAATGTCCGTGGTGCAACTTGCTGATCCAGGATGTAGAGTGAGGTCATGACTCTGCTGTTGCTACAGGGTTCTTAGACAACAGGTGTGTGGCTTCCTTCTTTCATTTACCATCACTCCACCCCTTCACACACAAACACATACATGCACTCTAAGCCAGGACTTGAATCAGACAAGCGATCGAGACATAAAATCTATAATTTTGGTTCTCTTTTACACTTTTTTTTTTTTTTTGAGTTGGATTCTCACTCTGTCGCCCAGGCTGGAGTGCGGTGGCACGCTCATGGTCATCGCAGGCTCGACCTGCTGGACTCGGGCAGTCCTTCTATCTCAGCCTCCCAAGCTGGGCTCAGGCAATCCTTCTGCCTCATCCTTACAAGTAGCTGGAACTACAGGCGCACACCACCACAGCCAGCTAATTTTTTGATTTATTGTAGAGACAAGGTCTCGCCATGTTGCCCAGGCTGGTCTTGAACCCCTGGACTCAGGCCTTGACCTCCCAAAGTGCTAGGATTACAGGCATGAGCCACCGCGCCCAGTCTAGGTTCTCTTTTTAAAAGGATATTCAACCTAGAAAATGATTATACCTCACCTTGGCCAGGAGAGCAAAGAGGGCAAACCTGACCCCTTTTATGTGAATATCTACAAAGAGCCACTAGACTTGCTGGGAAATTATAATTTAAAATTAAGTGACTACAGAAATTAAAGGTTGAGCCGGGCTCGGTGGCTCAGCCTGTAATCCCACGCCTTTGGGAGGCTGAGGTGAGTGGATTGCCTGAGCCCATGGGTTTGAGACCCACCTGGGCAACTTGGCCAGACCTCATCTCCACAATAAATCAAAAATTAGCCGGGCGTGGAAGCACACGCCTGTAGTTTCAGCTACTTGGAAGGATGAGGCGGAAGGATCGCCGGAGCTCAGCAGGTCGAGGCTGCGGTAGCCGGGAACGGCCACTGCACTCCAGTCTGGGCAACAGAGTGAGACTCCAACTCAAAAAAAAAAAAAAAAAGAAAGAAAGAAAGAAATTAAAGGTTCAATTTCAATATGCAGAAATTTAAATGACTTTAAAGAAAAAAATCATAATTTTGCATCTTCTTATATTTGTATGTATGTAAGTTTTGGAGAGACATAAAACACTGGAAAACCAAATGACAAGTCTAGTTTCCTAGCCAAAGGTTTTCTGACACTTTTTAAAATAACTTTTAAAGTGTGCCATCAGGGCCGGGCACGGTGGCATAAGCTTGTAATCCTAGCACTTTGGGAGGCCGAGGTGAGGGGAGCCCATGGGTTCAAGAACAGCCTGGGTAACTTGGCAAGACCTCATCTCTACAATAAATCAAAAAATTAGCCAGGCATGGTGGCGCGCACCTGTGGTTCAGGCTACATGGAAGGCTGAGGTGGAAGGATCACCTGAGTCCAGCAGATTGAGGCTACAGTGACTGGGAGAGTGCCACTGCCCTCCAGCCTGGGCACCAGAGTGAGACTCCAACTCAAAAAAAAAGTGCCATCAGGCTATCAGGTAATGTGCCTTGACTTTATTGACCTATTATTTGATGAAAGGAATTAGCCTATTCCATCAGGTTGTAGATGCAATCAAAGCCTGTTTTGTCACCCTTGTATTCCCAGCATCAAGGACAACTCCTGGCACTTAGTATCTACTTGAATGAATACAACAAATCAGTAGGAGGATGTTTCAAATATTGGGAAGAAATCAGGAAGTAAAGACAACCAACACTCTACAATGACAAAGCCTTATATGGATGTCTAGAAGGAAACAGGAAAAGAAATTGCAAGTCTGAGCCCAGATCTATCCCAAACCCTTTTCATATATATCTGAGGAGCATTTGCAAAGCAAATATTCTTAGAGCCTAAGTCAAACAAGTAAAACCCGTGCAAAAACAACTGACGTTAACTGTGTTCTAGAAGCACATACTCTAAAATAGGGAACTAAACATGGATCATGTTATAAAATCCCAGGTTATTAAATCAACAAACATTTAATCATCGCCTGCTATGTGCAAATAACTAAGGCAGAGGTGCAAGAAGAGAGAGATGCTGACATGAATAAAATATAGTCCTTGCCCTCAATAGGCTTATAGTCTTATAGCATAACGAGACTCTGAACCACTATAATAAAAGACAAAATGAAATCAATTTGTATTAAAGTTGGGGTAGCGGGCAATCTCTTCAGGTCCCCCTCCCACTATGGTAGCTTTTCTGTCCTCTCAGTAAATCCTGCTTCAAAAAAAATAAAGAAGTAACAATATAATGGTATAAAAAAAGGTAGGATAGAACTAGAAAAGGGCTTTGCTGGAAAGGGAGCATGTGGGTGCTTGTTAAAGATTGAGAGGTTTTTCAATCAACTGTATCTACCCCTAAAAGTAAATCAGCAATTCCAAATCACCCCAGGCAGACAATGAGATGAGAAACCATTTTGAGAATTCAAGGGCAAATGCTAGATAGCTGAAAAGCAAACTATAAGACCTTAGGAGCACTGAACTCCAGAGAAAAACAGGAAGACTCATTTCTACGGTATTATGAGATAGATGGCTACCTACCCCCGTAATCATGTCACCATGACCTTTGGGGACTGAGAAAGAAAAACAGTAAAAAGCAAAGTTCAGTCTCAAGGGGTAATTCTGCAGTTGAGTGAAAAGATAGTGCTCTTCTAAAAGGACCTCCTGGGAAAGGAAAAGGCTAGAATGGTAACCTGGACACGGGCAATATATGGGCACCTTTCTTTTCCCCAAAATCACTTAGTGTGGCTGCTTCTAAATATGCACAATACCACTGAAATTGTCTAGTTCTCTCCCTTGCCCCTCTCAGTTAGGAGCTGCTTGAGAGCAAGAACCTTATCTCCCATAACTGTTTTCAGGGTATGGGAAAGAGTGCCTGGCCTAGAACACATATTCAGTAAGTGATGGATAAACAAAAGAAACAAACACATTTGCACATTTGCCTGTCCCAGGCAGTGTATTATGCCAGGTGCCTGAAGCACACAAAGCCCTTAAAGGCTTTAAGTAATCTCTTTGGGGAGACCGCCCGCAGCATACAAATGAGAAGCACCCGTTGCTAACCTACAGTATAGAAAATGGATTGCTGGCACAGTCCAGAGGAGGAGTAGTGTTCCAAGCCACCATTCAGATGACCCCAAAGGAGTATGGCTGGGCACATGCTGGTCACCCGGAAGACGATTTGGAAATCAGTCTGAAGCATGGCAGACCCTACAGGAGCTGGGAAAGGGCTGATCTGCGCAGACATTGCTGGCACAGCTGTCTGGCCAAGGAATACACTGGACTTGTTCTGTGAGGAAGGGAGAGGCCAGCCCCAGGGAGACTCTGAGAGCTGCCAATGGCGCCACCTAGAGGACAAATTTTATAACA